AAATTTTGCACCCAGAGTTGTTTAATGATTTTAAAATTAAAATAATTGCTTCCCTAACGTATTCGGTGGTAATACTTGAAGGAAAAAGTGTATATTGCGAATTCGCTATATTTAGTTATACGAATTCGTTATACAGATATAACGAATTACGGATATAGCGAATTAAATTCACAGGTCCCCGGGACTTCGCTATAACCGAGTTTTACTGTACGCCAATTCATGTACATTATTATTTACAGTATCCACTTCTACAAGGCAAATGCTTTACTAGAAACCTGTATTCTTTCAATATGCAGACATCCAAACACTGGCAACAAAGTCATATAAAACTTTTGATGACAATGCACCAGCCCATAAATCAAAGGTCATGCAGGTTTATCTGCAGTGTCATAAATATTCTGATAAGGAATTTTGAACAAAACAAGTTTTGAACAAAACATGTTCAGACACGTAAACAGATGCATTTTTCGGCAAAGAGCTACAACTAGGGAGTTATAGGACTGGTCCCTTAATATTTCTGTTCTAGATATCTCGGAAACAAAAAGGAATTTCAGAATGGTTGTTAAATTCACAGTGAATGAAATCACATGTGTCTCAACTGTTATCGATGAAAAGGGGTTGGTCCTTTAAATCAGGGGTCCAGTGGAGACAGAAAGTTTTCGTGTCTAGCAGAGATCTCAACTAGGCCATTTTGATATTAAGTGAAAACAGAAGTAGTAGTTGATATAAAGTAACACGATGTATATAAACAAGTATATACTTACAGCCGCTCTTAACCTTTTCTTGTACATGTACAAGTGAAAAAGATAATAACAACAAGAGGCCCATGGGCCACAGCGCTCACCTGAATAACTTTGGCCTTGCTGTTTTTCACCTGATTTCTCTCCCCCCCCCCCCCCCGTAGTACTTATTGTGGCCCCACCCTATCCCCATGGGTCATGATTTGAACAATTAGAATCTATACTACCCCAGGATGCTTCCACATAAATTTCAGCCTTTCTGGTCCAGTGGTTCTTGAGAAGAAGATTTTTAAAGATTTTTTTTTTTGCATATTTCAATATAAAACTTGGATTCCCTATTGTGGCTCCGCCCTACCCCCGGGGTCATGATTTGAACAATTTAGAATCTACATTACCCCAGAATGCTTCCACATAAGTTTCAGTTTCTCTGGCCCAGTTGTTCTTGAGAAGATTTTTTAATGACCCCACCCAATTTTTGTATTATCTTGATTATCTCCCCTTTGATGGGGACTTGGCCTTTCAATTTTACAATTTAAACTCCCCTTTAGCTAAGGATTGGCCCAGTGGTTCTTGAGAAGAAGTCAAAAATGTGAAAAGTTTACAGACGGACGGACGACGGGTGATCAGAAAAGCTCACTTGAGCTTTCAGCTCAGGTGAGCTAAAAAGGATTCAAATGACGGAACGTGAATACGTGTATAACAAGTTAATTAATTATTTCCAGAAGTTTTCATTTAAAAGGAAATTTATAAAGCATTATATAATAATTATGTTATATAAATATTAAGTAGTTCTATTTTCGGACATTATTATTTAGAACAGCCGAAATGAACTTAAACTATAAGCATGATTAACCCTTTCCTCTTCAACTTCGGGTGTCAATAAGTTGACCTTAATACTCACACGAGTTGCCAACTTCCCTCTTTGTAAGGTATCAATTCATAAATCTGCTAGGATTTGGAATACGTGTCTGTGATTAAAAATCAATTAATAAAAAAAAAGAATTTTTTAATGGTTTATTGCTTAATAGCCAAGCCAAATTTCCTGCTTATTCATCAAAAAATAGTAGAATATACAACAAAAAATTATTACTGAGATGGTAATTAAAGTAGAATAACTTGGGTATAATTTTATTTGTACACTTGAATAATTATCTAAACAGCCTAAACTTTAACCGTATGGCACAAGTTTTAGACTATGAAAAAATCCAATATTTTTATGCTGCAATGCTGACATAAGGCATTGTAACAGTATTAGAAAAGTGCTAAATGTACAACAAAATATATTTGGAAAACAATTAATTACACTGTAATAAACAATTTCAAATAAAACTTTGAACACTAAAAGAATTTTCAACTACAATCCAGTGAAATGCAATTATTTTTCATCACCAATTAAAAAAAAACATTTAATTTACAGTATAGTATTTTGTCTTAAGTAATGACTTAAAACACTACATGTATTTGTCAAACTGAAGGAAGCAAGTGGATGTCTTAATTACAATGTGTTTCTTTTTTATGTAGAAGCAATAAAAATTACATTACTAATTAAACAAGAGACCCATGGGCTACATAACTCACCTGAGCACACTGACTAGGAAAAAGCACAAATCAGTTCAGTATTGAAAAGTTAACGAGGGGGGGGGGGGGGGGGGGGAGGCTTGAATTTTAAACTACCTAAGGATGCTTCCATTATGATATCAATACAACAAAGGCTTTGCTGTTCTTAGCAAATGATTTTCTCCTATATATTCCTTTTAAAAAATTTGATCCCTCATTGTGGCCCCTCCCTACCCCTGGGGGTCATGGTTTGAATGAGCTTGAATCTACACTACCTGAGGATGCTTCCACATCAATATGACTAAACATGGCTTTTCTGTTCTTGAGATTTCTTCCAATATATTCCTTTGTAAAACTTAGATCCCCCATTGTGGCCCCACCCTACCCCGGGGTCATGACTTGAACAAACTTGAATCTACACTACCTGGGGATGCTTCCATTTCTTGAGAAGAATTTTAAAACATGCCACCAAATTCTCACTATTTCTGAATTATCTCCCCTTGAGTGAGAGTGTGACCCTTCTTTTGAACACATTTAAATGCCTTTCATTCTAGGATGCTTTGTGGCAAGTTTGGTTGAAATTAGCCCAGTGGTTCTGGAGATGAAGTCGAAAATGTGAAAAGTTTTACAGACAGACGGACGGACGGACAGATGGACTACATACAAAATGTGATCAGAAAAGCTCACTTGAGCTTTCATCTCAGGTGAGCTAAAAATTGATAATATTATTTCAAAATGCTTGTTATTTAAATTATCTGTTTATATCACTACTTAAAGTCTTAAAACACTCCTTGGTTGAAATGCAAGTAAACTAAACAAGATTAGGTATTAGCATATACATGTATTGAGTTACATGTTAAATGCACTTGTTATTTGGTCCAATTCTATTATTATTAAATAGACAAGTGTACATAATATAAATAAAATTCTCAAAATATCACAGTATGTTTATAACTAGTAAGTAATAAATACAGTGCAGGGAACTAATTTTGTTACATAAACCAGCATCAGCATAAGTATTAGTAGCATCAGGATCGAGCTAGCATCAGCAACAGCATTTAAAAAACAGCATTACCAGGATCAGCATCAGCAAGCAAAGGATAAAACCAGCATTGACCTACATAAAATCAGCATTATCCTACTAGCATCAGAAAATCAATGAGTTTTAATTCAGTAAAAAATTAAAAAAGAAAGAAAGAATATTGGTTAAAGTATTCACATTATTGATACATAGTGAGATATTATGATCAAATAATTGTAAAGGGCACTTTTATTGCTTTAAACGGCAATGCTGAAATTCATTATCTACTTCCGGTAGCATGATGCTACTTCCGGTAGCATTGACCTAATTATAAAACAGCATCAGGATAAGGATTACTAGCATTAAATCAGCAAGCAAAGGAAGCATTCAAATCAGCAAGCAAAGGAAGCATTCAAATCAGCATCGATGCTGTAACAAAATTAGTTTCCTGCACTGTAGTAATCCAACAATAAATGAACAACAAATTGTTATTTTAAGTATTGCCAAATTATTTTTTTCATTGATGAAAGTGAATGTACAGAGCAATGAAATCTGTCACAGAAGTGTCACCTGTATATTATATGATGACTGAGAGATAAACAAATGAAAACTATCCTTATTTCTGCTAGGCAGGAAACATGAGGATCAATAATCATTTACATGTATTTTATACAGACTATGAGAAAGGTTATCCATTTTCAATGTTTATAATAACTGGAATGATCTATACATGTCACTTATGCATTTTTTACTTTTATTAAAAGTAGCATGAAAACAAAAGTAAAAAAACGAAACAAAACAAAAATCTTTCGATCCGGGGGCATAAAAAAAGCAAAACAAAAAATTCAAGAAAAAGATGTATTTTAGATTCTTTAACTTAATACATATATACATAATATATATTTCTTTCTCTTGATTAATCAATTTTCCATCCAATTAGCGAACCCCAATAATCATGATAATTAAAAATAGTCTAAATCCCATGAAACTTAAACTAATCTGCTGATATACAAAAAGTACCATTTAAAAGTGATAGACAGTTGAAGGTACAATAATTTATAACTCCATATACATATACTTCTATCTAATCCTACTCCCCTTTGATCCCCCACATAATATGCTGAATCCCCAATGGCCACAAAGGCTATAAATTTAACAAATTACCATCTTAATGTAAAATTTTATGATTTTTGACAACTTTAACTGTGAAGTAAAATTATAAGCAGATTAATTGATATACAAATTAATACATGTAACAGATGGGTCAGGCACTGAAAGGGTACACGTGCCCTCTATCAATATCAATTGGAAATTAATTAAAACATCCTCTAAACAGAAGCTTGTTAATAAAACTATGTAACAACCTTGCCTACACATAGATGCACAAAAAGCAAAAACATAATACAATCTTCTGACCAATATATTAAAAACACCATCACAACCAAACACATGGTCCAGTGCACACAGAATATTTTAGATGGATTGCAATTTGATCATGTACAAGGAGGTCTAATGTCGTAAGTATTTACAATTCTAAAAATCTGAATATTGAAAGTCACCTTGACTAGATAGAGGTTACAGACTGCCATGGCAAATATACATACAAAGTCTCTTCACCGAATATTCATAGATTTTTACTGTACAGTAACAAAAGTTTAATTTATAACTCTGAATTTTTAGTACAATGTTACAATCTGACATACAATGGTCATTTAAAAAAGATTTATATATAAGTAACCTATAAATAAACTAAAACCTGAGACAGAACAAACCATGGATAAATATTGATCCAAAAGAAATAATAAAACCCAGGTATAGCTGTAAACTGGAATAAAATATCAATAATATTATATGCAAGCAAGTATGAAAGAAAAACAATAAAAAAGTATAAATTACTGAAAAATATACTGACAATTTAAATCAATGCACTTTCTTATGCTTATATAAGCCACAGAACATGTACATGTAGGCAACAATGGCTTTTGAAAACATCTAAAATCAGGCACCGGGTATAAACTTTCTTTTATACAGTACGTATGTATATATGTTTAATGTGCCCTTGATTTCCTTCCTTTTTCTTTAGTGTTTAGGCTTCCTAAACAACAAGCAATGTTATCATTTAACCAATTAATTAGCCAAATATGACTAATGAGACAGTCCATCATAAGAAAATATTTCAATCATTATGAAGTATACCAAGTTTCTAATTCCATAATCATGAAAAAGATGGACTCATCAAAATATTGTTTTGGTTTGCAAAATTTTAAATACACTAGGTGAATTAAATTTGTTAACATTTCATTGAGTAGAAATTTTCGAAATTTAGTGTGGACTTAATTTAAAATACAGTCATAAATTCATTTATTTTACTTTCAGCGATAATACTCCAGTACTCGTTTTGGAAATCCAGAATAAATTTTATTTCAGAGACGGTCTTCATTTATTTCACTTTCAGCAATAATACACCTGTACACATTTTTGAAATCCAGAATGAATTTTAATTTCAAAGACGGTCTTCATTTATTTCACTTTCAGCAATTATACTCCTGTACTCAATGTCATCATGATCTTCTGAACGAATTTCGATTTTGACTTCTTTGAACGTGTTCTTGGGAAGTTTGATCCTATTAGCAATTGTCCATACCAAGAAAAACACCATTAGCATTATGACAGACTCCCCTAACATAATGTAAGTGAACCACATAGGAGTGGAATTGTCCATCAAAAATCCCAGAATAATGGGATTTATCATTGACCCTGTAGAAGATGCAATGAGGAACAGTGAAGCTATAAACCCTGTGACGGGGAGGATGGAATCCTCAGTCCATGAGAAAATAGACGGGAAAATGATGGACATGGAAAATCCTATAAGTCCTGTAGAAATCCATATCCCTTCATAAAACTTGAAATGAGCAGTCAGGAAAAATCCCAGAAATCCCACGAGTAGGAATACACTAAGGATGAATATCATTCTCACAGGCTTGAAACTACGAGCCACGAATATGCCAAGAAATCGCCCAGCTGTGAAACTCACCCAAAATACGGCAGTTACCACAGAGGCTATGTATTTGGTCCACTTTAGCTGACTAACACAAAAAGTGGCAAGAAAATTGTTAAACCCATCTTCCATGGCACAATAAAGGCCCATTAACAGCATCATGATAATTAACATTAGCACCTTCATTCCTGTTGACAATTTCTCAACATTTCTCTCTTTATCAACCTCCCCATCTTCATCTTCAGAATTCTCCATTTTTTTGTCAGTTGGTCTTGTTGATGTGCAAGCCAGAACAAATAATGGGACAGTTGCAGTGACTGCAAGAAAGGCTGCTATTGAAAAAGGTATATACAGTCTGGACTCTGTTCTAGAAAATTCCCACTGGGTCACATTGCTTAGATCAGAAGTGGTATTTCGACTAGCAATTCCAATGATGTCTCTGCTGGGTATAGTGTTGTTTTGAGTGTTTTCATCCGGAGCCAGAAATGGGGCAGTTACGAAAGGCGAAATTGCTCCCCCGATAGCAAAGGCAAAATGAATACTCTGCATGAACGATTTCCCATCAGCTCTCCATAGACTAATTAGAAGTGCATTACCAGCTAAAAAAAAAATTCAAAATTCTTTTAAAGTAGTAAGTTTATTAATATCTGGGTTGTCCCTGAGACCCGGGGGCAAGGGAATTTCCATGCCTATAATGATGTCATTCCCCAGTTAGTCTGGTATTCTGCCTCATCACCCTGTTAATGGAGGAACCCCAGATCCCCTTCTCCTTTTTAAATGTCCCCTGCTCTTTTGATTCTTAGGGACAACCCTGAATATATATGCTGAGAGCAATACATTGAAGAAGTAATACCATAGGGAAGAAAAAAATCATACAGTTCAATAAAAAAAAAAAAGAATTAGATCTCAATAGATCTCAAAGGGTTACCGTTAATTATAAAATAACACTTTTAAATAATAAAAAATATTCTATAACTAACTTTCAAAGAATTTGTTTGATGAGGGTGTTGAATGACACTGCAGTGTCATACATACCGTTAAAAATCAACTATTTTTAATAATAACCCTTCTTGAAAAAAAAAAATCAGCTAGATAGACTAATTTCTTGCACTATTTGATTATGTTTCTTAAAGCTATATATGGCGTATCTGAACTAAAAAAAAAAAAAAGAAATTGAATATAGATAAACATGATATATGTTATTTATGTTCAAATTAAAATTTTTGCCTATTTTGAACTTTGAATAACCTCATGTTTCCATAGTTAAATTGACTTTAAACTGTGTCTTTTATTTAAATGCAGAGTCGGTAAATAAATCGGTTATTGTTTTAAATTTCTAATATCTTTGAAACATGATTGATTTAAATTGTGTAATTTACAGGAAAGTCCTATCTTTATATAAAGTAATAAAACAAATAGAAAGATCTTTTTAATTTTAGTTAGTCTGAACTTATAAAAAAATCTGCCATATATGACTTTAAAATAAACCATACTTTAAAAAAAAGTTGTTAATTTGACTAAGAATATAATTTATAATATATATGATTAGTACTTACTGGTATCTAACCCCCCTCCTGCCATTCCTTTGAACACATGGATGCTAATCATCAGTTCATAAATAGAACACCATGGTATCAAAGCCACAATAACAGTCAAAGCTAGACTACAAGAAGACACACAGTAAGTCTTCTCTCCTTTCATTTTGTCAAAAATCAGTCCAGATATTATGGAGCCCATAAGGTACCCCACAGAATGACCCGTCATGAAACCAGCTGCTTTCTTTAGGGATGCATTTGTGATGATTCTTAGGTCCAGGAAAGATGGACCAAACTGACCAATAGTCCAACCCTGTAAAGATTACATTCATAATCAATAAAACATAACAATCCTTGCAGGCACAACAAATATTCTAACATCTACCCAACCACCACCATCATTTTACAAAAAAGGAAAAAAAAAATATATACTGTAAAACAAAAATATACGGCGCACTACTAATTTTAGTGCGTTTGGCGCAAGCACCCCTGAATGCTAAAATTTATTGTGCGCTAATGGATTTCTAAATATTATTTGGGGGGGGGGGGTCAAAGCTATCCCTTAAGTACATGTAAACTGGAACACGAGATAATGTAACGTACATGTAAACCGGAACACGAGATAATGTAACGTACATGTAAACTGGAACACGAGATAACGTAATGTCATTAGGGTCCCTGTATTTTTGTAAACACACTCGCACTGGTAAACTGTAGGATGGATCGAGAAAGTTCTGCCAAATTTTGAATTAATTAAACTATTGTTAGTTGTTACCCGGTACTTATTATTAGCAACTTTAAAGTTGGGCTTCTCTTCATGTATATAATATCACTTACTAAAACAAAGAAACTCCACATGATTCCTAGTGATATCAGATACTTTTCTCTGTATACAGCATTGTTTTTGAGTTTGGTCATAATGCTTCCTTTTTTATCTTTTGAAGAAGTTGAATGGTTTTCACAATTTTCGATGCCATTCTTCACAATCTGTACATCATCTCCACTGACTTCTTTTTCAGTAAAGGGAGTTTTTTCATCAGCATTGTTGTGCTGTGCATTTTCATTTTGGTTTACTTCTTCAGTGGCTGACCCCATTGTGCCTCAGATGTCTGGAATTTTTGGTAGAAATGCATGTAAGTGTATTACCAATCACAAAAAACTTGTATAATGTGAATACATGCAATTACAATCCTAAATCAATGAAATTGGTTTATACTTGACAGCTATACATACAATATATATGAGATAATGTTACATGTTACCGTACTAGTTTTCACAAATCTGATATTTTTGAACACTAATTCCTGGGTCAACATGTACATCAGTATACTAAATGTGAATTAGATACTAGCAGTATACTGACCAACATGGTCCATGATAACCTAATGTATATCTTCAGTTATATAACACCCAATACATAACATCCTTCTAAGCTTTGCCTCCAGTACTACAGATAATATCTCTCTTTCCTGTTACCAATCAACATATTTTTTTTTCTTTTTAATACAAAAATTGTAATAATAAAAATAATTCTACACAATCCAACATTTTTACAGATTTTTAATCCACCAATGCAACATTTTGATACACTATGACAATAATCTTTATTGCATACTACACCCATATGGGTATTTCACACTGGCACTTGGCAATTTAAATATTTTTATTTATTGATAAAAAAAAAATGTACTCTAATAGAATTTTTTATCCATAAAGAGATATTTAAAATGTCAAGTGCCTGCATGTGGTCAAGTAATACAATTCAATACAAAGAAAAAAATGCACTAGTGTATACATAATGCAAATCTACCTTAAATTTCTACACACTGTCACACATTTAACTTCAAGTCTTGTGTCACTGCTTGCCTGTGGGGAATGCTGTGGAAAAATCATTACATGTGTGCGTGTGTTTGATTTTAATGAAGCTCACCCCCACCACAACTAATTGATTGGTTGTCGCTATAATGTCCATTTTGGCATTGTATTCTGCCACTTTAAAAAGCCTAAATTAACAAATGCTCTTGCAGATAAATAATCGTGAAAGCAAGTTCCTTAACATATCAGAACCTCAACCACTGTCAACTGTGAGCATCAAACAGTTCAACTGTTAAATCTCGATGCAATATGACATTCCAGCATTTGTTCGGTGTGTTTTTCAAATAAAACTCTAAAGTGAAAATCTTCAGATACTACAGATATTTTCGATGAGAATGTTCCTGATAATTATTAAACATACCATACCTTTACCACATTAACACCTGTTAGTTTTTCACAGAGGGTCAGATCAGGCCAATGGATAGTCAGGCGTTATATTACTGTAAAATTTCGAGCCCGATCCATAATATTACATTCCTAATCGGCGTCAGCTAATAATTTATATTTGCAAGTGTGAATATCTATACAGAGCACAGCCTTATGTTTTAATCTCCAAAAATGTACCAAAAAATAATTAAAAAAAAAAACATAACATGCAAAATGTAAACATCGATTGAATTTTGAAGGATCGGGTTGTTTTACTTTCGATTTGGAAACGCGCGTTTCCTACTTTCGTTATGACTGATATGAGTCGATCGCTGCATGAGCTTCCCAGAGAGACGATTCGTCTTCTTGGAAGCTCACAAGTCATAACATCAGTATTCAGCGTCGTGAAGGAGCTCATAGAGAATTCACTGGATGCAGGCGCCACGTCTTTGGAGCTGCGTTTGGTAAGTATAACGTTTTAATGAATCGAATAAAATGTCAACACTGTACCAGATCTACCACAATCTCATGATATAGCTATATAGCTCACAGGGGCTTGCTCCCGGCGTGTAATAATTATTTATTTAAAAAAATCATATACGATAATACTAAAACAACACTGTTTTAGTATTACCTTATAGGCCTATGATTTTTTTTAAATAAATAATTATTACACGCCGGGCGCAAGCCCCTGTATATAGCTTGAATTATCTATATAGCTTTATTAAAATATTCAAAATAATTTGATAGCGCCATTTCAATACAGTTCCTCATAAGTATTTTTTTTATTATTAAAAATAGACAAAAATTCACAAGCACTATAAAAACTTTGCAAAAGTTATTTCCCTTTGCAGGGTCAGCCAAAAGGTCAATAGGGAAAAAATAATGTTTCAAATGGTTTGCAATGATGCAGTAAAACATAATATATTAAATACAATTAACACATTAATATTTCTAAATTTCGCAACTTTTTCAATCCCATTTGAAAGGGTACAGAACCCTGTAACAAAAAAGGGTCAAATAAGCCATATATACCACCAAGAGATTGAATTAGTTGTGATTTATCAATGATATATGATATTTGATTGATGAACAATGCAACAGCTTTAGTTTCCTTGCTATACACGGGCACTGGAAGTTAATGTACATATTGAGTAATATGTGCATGTATAAAAAGGGAGCCTTCCTTTTTTTATACATGCACATACTCAGTATTTACGTTAACTTCGAGTGCCTGCGTTGCTGTACAAAAAAAGGATAAGATATATCTTAATGAAAAATTAACTCAAAGAAGTAAGCAGGATCATCTCATGTTAAACATCACCTTGAATAATTAACTTTAGGAAAACTATGGTTTGGACAAAATCGAGCTGAGAGACAATGGATCTGGTATACCTACAGCAGATGTCCCATTAGTAGCCAAGAAATACCACACCTCCAAAATCACCAGCTTTTCTGACCTGGAGGATCTTGTGACCTACGGCTTTAGAGGTGAGGCCCTTGGGTCTCTGTGTAGCATATCTAACCTGTCAATCACCACTAGGACAAAGGATGAGGAGATCAGCACCACCTACTGTTATAATTACCAAGGGCAGATAACTTCATCTAGACCCACCCATCTTGGAAAAGGTGTGTGCATATACTTGACACCTAATTCATTTTTTTTTAATATTTGGAATACTATATTTGTACATTAACTAGTATGTGAAAATCTATTGTGAAGTTTATTGTGAAGTTACCTTTTTTCACCAAACTTTCCTTTCTCGATTCGACAGTAATGATCAAATTTATTTCACTTCATTTTGCTTCTCGATAATAACTGTGATCCATGCCGTCCTCTTCAAAGTCATCTCCAATAAGGCATCTTGCACTACATATTATGAAAAAAATGAAAAATCAAGGTACCAATAAATTAATATTATTAAGATATTTTTTACAGGTACTACTATCACTGCCCTTAACTTGTTTAAGAATTTACCTGTGAGGAGACAGTTTTACAACACAAACAAGAAAAAGAAAGATGAGTTAAAACGCATTGAGGACCTACTACTGTCCTATGGGATCATATTCCCTTCAGTACGGATCAGTCTACGACATAATAAAGATGTTGTCTGGCAGAAAAATCCTGTGTCTGATCTTAAGACAGCCATTTTTGAAACTCTTGGAAATGTTATTGGAAGTAATCTTCAGAAGAGGGAGCTTGTATTGGAATTTCCAAAGGTATATGAAGGTGTCGGGTGGAATTTTCATTCAGTAGGTAGTCATATAAAATGAAATGATAAAAAAAAACACTTTTTTTTTGTTATGATTGAGATGGGCTTGTAATAGGTACAAGTACAGTGCTTAAAATTGTACACTGATAAAGAGTGGGATCAAAATATTCTATCATATTTCATCTACATGTATATGATCTGATTTTGTAAACAACACTTAAGATAAATAACCCCCATGTCACTCAAAGACATAGATTTCTATGACATTGAATCTTTATTTCCTTTCTCGTAGGAAAATACTGTAATATGATATAATAACTTGTAATCTTTATAGGTAGAAATAGAGATGTATTTACCTTCTGTGGGATGTGAGTGGACATCAGTATCACGCAGTGTTAATGACCGAAGCTTTGTGTTTATCAACCATAGACCTGTCCATCATAAAGAAATCGAAAAGGTGAAATACAAAAATAGTCAAAGGAGGAAATTGTTTCTTAAGAGAGTTAATTGTTACACTATAAGAAATAGAAAACATATCTGATCAAAATCTGCTAAACACTAATGTGTTAAGAGATGTATTATTTCTGTACACCGCCCTTTAATGATCAAAACATCACCTGTGCCATTGAACTGATAAAAGTTTTTACTATGAAGAGTCATGTATATTATGAGTGAACCTTTTTTTAGATGATCAGGAATTACTTGGGCTTGGAGAAGGGCAGATACCCCGTGTTCATCATTTCTATTGTGATCCCACCCTCAGATCTAGATGTCAATGTTGAACCAAACAAAACTAGAGTGTTCCTGCATAAACAAGTAGGACATTAGTGATTATGCCTAAAAAGAAGGGGGGAGACTTTTGGTTGGTTTCAGAAAATTCAAAGTTTGTTTCATGCTTAATTATCTAGGACAGGTAGTAATTTGTCCAGTATTTGATCAAAGCTAGCTAGTTATCAATCTAGGACAGGTAGTCATTTGTCCAGTATTGGATCAAAGCTAGCTAGTTATCAATCTAGGACAGGTAGTCATTTGTCCAGTATTGGATCAAAGCTAGCTACAGCTAAACTTCGAAATCTCGAACACGGATATCTCGAATACCCCCGATATGTCGAAGTAAGACCGCAGTCCCGACGAAATTTGCTTTATAAATGATTAAAATAAACCCCTCTATGTCGAACACGGTAATGTCGAATACCCTGGTTATCTCGAAGTAAAATTGTGTACCCATTCATTCAAATCACATGCGTTATCTCGAAGTCAGGATAATTTTCCGCTCTAATGATCAAATCCGTTAGGTAAACTGACCGCTCTATTGATAACAGCCACCTGTCTGTCACGCACGGGTTACCTGTGTTCCTGTGATCAACAGATAATAGCGCGATAATTATATGAGGTGTATGTATGGCTTACCTTGATTTTAATTATGCAAGCTAAAGGTTGTGTGTATTAGTCTTATGCATACGCGTGGATGACACGTTAATTGTTTTGTGGCCGTGGTACTTTATCTTGAATGCTATGTGTAATATGCGCGCTTGCATAGTTTATGCATATGAAAGTGAAAATTATAAACATTAAAGTGAAACAAAATTCTGTAATTTAATGCAATTAGAATTTATTTTTCGTATATGGGCGTGCAGAATTTACAATCGTCAGTACTCGCCATCGTGCGAGCGTGTGTCGCAGTGAAAACTTGTGCTATAGTGCCCTGTGATTCAGTGTTGTTCTGAAGTTAGACAAAAGTGCGTATTTCTTCTTTTGCATTTGATTTTATTACGGTAAAATATTTTCTTTTAACTGATTATACATGTATGAACATGTTTTTCCAATAAAAAAAATTGTATATTTCGTTTCCGTTATTCTGACAGCGACCGGTTTTAAATTCACAATGCATAGACGATAACCGGTTATGTATACATGGGAAACGATGCTAGCGGTTGAGTAGACTTGCCGTGTTGGTAGAAGGATTATACTTATGTGCATACTATACATAGTTTTTATTTTGCGAATTATAAAGAGGATGTAAAATCTTTTAAATGCTAAATACCTGTACATGTATATTAAAGAAATCCTATACAGAATTTCAAACAAGAAGGAATTTTATTAAGTGCATGTTCACTACAATAAGTTTATCTGAAGTTCATTAAAATTATACCCCTCGATATGTCGAACCCCCGGATATCTCGAAGTTCATCAACGGTCCCGTCAACTTCGAGATAACGAAGTTTAACTGTAGTTATCAATCTAGGACAGGTAGTCATTTGTCCAGTATTTGATCAAAGTTATCAAGATATGAGATCATTATTGAGAATATAATGAAGCAATGAATTGGCTTTTGAAGTTTGATGTTTTTGATAGATTTAAGACATGTAAAGTGTTTCATATTTCTGCTTGCATTCAGTTGAAACTTGTACATATATGAATCTGTGATGTGACTTATAATCATATGCACTGTTAGATGAAAGGTAATCTGTAAACCTTCCTTTTATAATCTTACCTGTAGATGAAAAGTTTTTTTATCATTTTTAGGAGGCCATTTTAGAACTGTTGGAAGATTATTTAAAAAACACATATGATCCAATGAAGCACTGCAACAAAGAAAATAATGTGACATTAAATGTTAATCTGCAAATGGAAAATGGAGAAGATGAGGCACCTGCTGTTACAATCACTAAAAGTCAAGGTTCTTATAAAGAGGTCAGAAGTACTCCCATGGAAACCACAAACCACCAGGTCAAGGTCATAACCATGGATGACATGAGTTTACTTGACGAGTCCCTTCCTGTTATTAAAGTTACCTTAGCGGAAGGAGAAAAAAATAATGAAGGTCATCTTGAAAAGGTTGCTAATGTGGCTCCTGAAAGTGAACCAGGTCAGTCCAGTAGATCTGAAAATCCAAACATGTTCAGCACTCAAGGATTAAACATAAGGAGTTCAGCTCAACAACCCCATCCTGTTGGAGAAAATGGCACAATAGAAACTTTGAGTGATAGATATGATGAAAAGACTGCACTTGTTACAGATGGCTTAGATATGCCTGTTATATCATTTGATGTTGTGACCCCAGATGACCCCAAAGAGAGGTCAAATGTCATTTCACAAAACAATGAATTTACAGATGATTCTTTATCAGAACTTTTGTCATCTTGGCCAGAAACATGCAACTCAGGAAAAGAACAGACAGAAAGTGCACCAGATGTGGCTGTTATGGAAAATTATAGTAAAGAGCCTACTGCACCTAGTGGAGAGCAATGGAGCAAAGGTCAAGGGTTAAAAGGTTCAAGTGGAGAGGTCATTGAGGTAAAGTCTTTGCCACCACTTCAAGGTCTTCAATGTTTTTTTCAGAGGATTTTAAAATATTTGATCTCTAAATCCTTATTGGTGATACTATGTTCAAAGAAACATTTTTTAAAGATAAATTTGATATACACTATAAATGTACCTGTTTCCATGGGGTCATATTTCATGGGAATCACAATTTCTGTTCAATCCGCAGAAAGAAAATTACACAGATTCTTGGATTGCCTTTGTACATGTATGTCTTAAATGCATGCACTTTAATTTCAGCAGAAAATTTGTGCATGCATACATATAGAGTAAATTAATCCCACGTGGAAAAAAGTATGTCTACAGTAACCTTTTGTTGTACATGTGTAAGGATAAAAGTTAAGAGAGAACGGCTACACTATATAAAGTAGGATTTTTTCTGTAATTTTCTAACAGAAGTTACAGATAAAATGTAATTGAAGTAAATAAAGTATACTACAGTATATGAGGCAATGTTTGAGACAAATTGAGGTTAAAGATGAAAGAGTTATTTCCCTTTGCAGGAACAATCCTCCCTTAAGATTGTATGTAGATATAGAGATAATTACATGCAGACACATATTTTTCTTTTAAAGCCAGTGAAGATTCTAAATTGTGGGAAACGCCCCCTTTCCCCTGACAGTGGACATTCACCCCCAATGAAGAGGAGATCCTTAGAGGTACACGTAACAGATAAAATCTTACTGAGTGTGAATTGTTGTACTTACATTTGCTTCTCTATGGATACTTACAAAATCAAATAATAATGACTATAAATACTACAGCGGAAACTGTTATACATTTATACTCATTTTCACATCACAGTATATTATCTTTTTCAAACTTTCGACTTGTATTAAAATGATAAAAAAAAGATCTGAAGATTTTTTTTTCTTTAATAAACATAAAATGTCAATAAAAATTATTTTGATTTTCTTTTCCAGGTTAATGCTGATGACAGTGGTACATTTTCAACTCCTCAGAAAGAAAATGCATTTAAACTTTTTGCCAAAAAGATGACTTCAAAAGGTATGTAATTTCCCAACATTTATTTATATACATGTACTATATAGTCAAGATAGATGGCAGTATATTTATAAAGAGCAATACAGAACATTCTTGGGTTTGCATAAAGTACAGATCCATTTTTTGTTCCAGTTATCACAGCTAATCCAAACTGCTCCGGTAGCAGGATATCAGAATTGATCCGAGAAGCCTGGGACAATTTGTCAGTGTCAGAGAGAACCACGTACGAGCTCAGAGCTGGGGCACAGACTGCAGAGAAGGGGTGAGCTCTTTACCAGGATGGAATATTGTTCAGTCTAAATTTTACTGATCTGTGTATTAAATTTAAGGGTTCCCTTACAGTTTATTTTCACTTTATTTATCCATGCTGTACACACAGAAGTTTTGTTATCAGTCAATAGCAAGGTTGGTTATTTAAGAATCAATGAGATCAACATTGTGAAAGTCTTTTGAAAAGTTTGTTGTACTTATAATATCAAATCTTAAACATTAGTCATTTATAGCCTTTCCTTGAATTATGAATCTGAAGTTGATTTTGCCAGTAAAAACAAGTACATAGTATATTCCCATATCATTTGCAAATAAAAATGTGCTTGAATCATGGACTCAGATTTAGATCACATTATAATTTCAGTGGGACAAAACCATTGTTAAACCAGAGCTTAAAGAACAAAGTTCAGAACAGCAAACTTCACAGAACTCCCTCAATAAAGGAACAGTTATTGAGGACTGCTCGTAAACATGGCACCTCCCCAGAAAGTTTTATTCCGAGGAAGGAGAAGGCAATACCTTTCAGTCTCAGGAAGCTAAGAGAGACATTCTCATCATGTCCACCAGCAAGGTTATTTCATACAATATTTTATTACTTTTTAGCTAAAATGATAATCTAAGATAAGTACATGCAGTTCGAGTTTGTCATGGCACCATAAATCTGTTTCTACCCTTTTGTTCTCTGTATTTCTGTCTGTCTGCCTTCAAGATAGAAGCCACCTGTGTACAGACCAGGAACATACGATAATTTTATGTTTTCTGATTAAAACACCATTTCATAAATCAACAGTTTGAGATATGTGAAAAATGTTCTAGGAAAATACAGGGTTTTATTTCTGAACATATATTTTGAATTTATCTAATAAGTTGTTATTTTTTTCTTTTGGAAATGATAATTTCTTTGAATGTCCATAAAAAAAATTAGGTCTTGAGCCAATTCCTTAAATATATAGATGTATTAAACTATAATGACAGTGATGCAACTCAAAGGAATGATTACCATATTGTCTTTTTTATCAGTCAAATGACAGAAACACAATGCTGGGAACTGATTGGTCCTCTGAAGTCATGTGGTATTTGGACCTGTTACCATGACTACAAAATCCACATCTTAAATCCACATCGTGTGCATGAGACAGTATTATACCATCGACTAATGAGAGACCATGTTTTACCAACAGAGCCACTGGAACGACCAATCAAAATCACTCCAGAGTAAGTTATCAAAAGTAGTGAGCAGCTAGGGCTAGGACTACTGCAGTCAAAGACAGCTAGATCCCAGCCAAAAAGAGAGCATATATCAAACAATACTAATATACATGTTCATGTAGGTATTGACCCACAGTTCATAGTGTAATGTCATACAAAACATGTTGGTTGCACCTCCAGTTCTGATGTGGTAGAAGTAAGTTTGAAAGTAAACTTTTTAATGAAATTTTCCTGTGTGCATGTCTACATGCATGTTGTTCATTAATTTTTTTTATATTTTCAAATTACATACAAATACATGTGTATATACAAATTAATTCATGTATATAACCTATGATATTTATTACAGAATAATACTAAATGGTAAAATAAAACCAAAATATTATTCAAATAAAGTCATGCAAGAGTTAATTATCCTTTGGGAATAAGAGTTAGTACATGTATTATTAAACAATCACTTCAGGAAAATGGTGATTCCCATGGAAATTAATGAAAAAATCTGTATTTTCTCTGATTCTGCATTGTTGTTTCTCAGAATGAAAGTTTGAATGGAAGAGGCCTGAGAAAATTTAAAAAGAATTGTTTTTTACAGGAAAAAAAAAATTTGGTGTTTGAAATTCAAATCTCTTTCTCTGAGAGATTTTTTTTCTTTATACTGTAAAATCACATGTTCCCATGGTACATGTACATGTAGGTTCAAGGTCTAAATTCAAGTAATGTCCCTATTTCTTTAAAACTTCAAATGCAAACACATCACAGTGTGAAATTAAAAAAGTACAGATACAGTCAAACCTTGTTATCTCGAAGTCAATGGGACAGAGAATAAACTTCAAGATATCCGAGGGTTTGAGATATTGGGGGTAAAATACTTAAAATATTAAGTGCTTGGGACTTCCAAATCACTTCGACTTATCCATGGTATTCGAGATGTCCATGTTTGAGATACCGAAGTTCAACTGTATGTTGTATTTATACAGTGTTTTCCCCCTTATTAGCTCAATTGAGCCGAAGGCTCAAGTGAGCTTTTCTAATCGAAATTTGTCCGTTGTCTGTTGTCGTCGTTGTTGTAAACTTTTCACATTTTCATCTTCTTCTCAAGAACCATTGGGCAAGTTTCAACCAAACTTGCCACAAAGTATCCTTGGGTAAAGGGGATTCAAGTTTGTTCAAGTGAAGTGCCAGGCCTTTTTTCAAGGGGAGATAATTATGAATTCGTGAAAAATTAATGGCATCATTTAAAAATCTTCTTCTCAAGAACCACTGTGCTTGAAAATATGAAACTTATATGGAAGCATCCTCAGGTAGTGTAAATTCAAGTTTGTTCAAATCATGACCCCCAGGGGTAGGGTGGGGCCACAATGTGCGATCAAAAGTTTTACATAGAAATACATAGGAAAAATCTTTAAAAATCTTCTTCTCAAGAACAGCAAAGCCATGATTAGTCATATTTAAATGGAAGCATCCTCAGGAGTATAGATTCAAGTTTGTTCAAATCATGACCCCTTGGGGTAGGGTGGGGCCCCAATGGGTGATCAAAAGTTTTACATAGGAATATTTAGGAAAAATCTTTAAAACTCTTTTCAAGAAAAGCAAAGCCATGATTGGTCATATTTATATGGAAGCATCCTCAGGTAGTGTAGATTCAAGTTTGTTCAAATCATGACCCTGGGGTAGGGTGGGGCCCCAGTGGGTGATCAAAGTTTTACATAGGAATACATTGAAAAAATCTTTAAAAATCTTCTTCTCAAGAACAGCAAACCCATGATTGGTCATTTTTAAATGGAAGCATCCTCAGGTAATGTAGATTAATTTTTTTTTTTTCAAATCATGACGATTCAGGAGAATAGAGGGGCCATAACAGGGGATCATAGTTATACATAGGATATTCATATAAAAATTTTCTTCTTAAGAACAGCAAAGCCATTATTTGTCATATTAATTCAAAAGCACCCCTATGAAGTATAGATTCAAGTTAGTTCAAATCAACCCCCCCCCCCCCCCCCCCCGAACCACTTTGTATTAAAACTTTTCAACCAACTGATTTCTACTTTTTCCTCGTCATAGTGCTCAGGTTAGTGATGTGGCCACTGGGCCTCTTGTTTTAAAGTAAAGGGTTTGAGATCAATTTTAACATTCTGTGGACATTACAATAATTATTTCTTAAATTTTTTATTTATAAGCGGCATTTTTATCATGTGACAATGGAAGTGGTTAATATAGCTGATAGCCAGTTCTTGGGAAAAAACACTGTTTATATTCTTCAAAGTATTTTTTAGTAATATAATATAATATATATATATATATATATATATATATATATATATATATATATATATATATATATATATATATATATATATATATATATATAAGCTGTTATGCGATGCCATTTACTTGTAAAAACTTTCATAAATCTGTTTTATCTCTAATCAGTATTTCTATTTCCAGTATGTTGGGTAGTCACTGGGAGACCTTTAGGGAGTTAGCTCTCCAGTACAGAACATCAGAGATGTACCCTATCCTCAGAGATAGCAGGTTCACTAGTAATGGAATTCACATCAAACTTTTTTTTGGTATGTGAAAAATTATTTATCAATTATGATTAACATGAAACTGTATAAACATTCATAAAACTTGGTTAAATTAATTAAATAGTTTAAATCTGTTAAAAATAAAGGGTTTATGATTCATGCATAAGAAAGAGAAAAAAGAAACTTCTTTGAACGAGGGCCGTTCAAAAATTACGGGGACTCTGCTATTATTTACTCTTATAGACGTCGTATAGAATTGAAATTTCACAGAAATATATTTCTTAAAGATTCCAATAAATCCTTGGTTAAATATTTTGATTTTATTTAATATCTCTTAGAATTATTGCTGTTTTGATACTGCTGATGGTGATGTACGGAGCACGACAAAAATGTTGAAATACAAAAATGCGGTATCCAATATTTTATTCATTTATTTTCCATATTCACGATATTATTCAACAATCTTCTCTAAAATTTCTTTTTATTGTTGTATTATTAAGTATTTAGATTTCTGACATAATATTTGAAGTACTAACAGAAATATTGCAATTTTTCTCCAATGTGACCCCTACGAAATCAATTTCAAAAATGACATCTCGTAATTTGACGGAGCAGCGCACTTTTATCAAATCATGAATCATGCTGGGAAAACGCCAGCGGAGACCCAAAATAAACTTGATGAAACATATAGTAAACCAGCGGAATTTCCGACACATCTCTACAAAATATAGAAAAGAATTTTAGACTGTTAGATCTTAATCAAAAGACAGTCTGGGAGGGATGGAAGAAGTTCATCGACAAAACACTGATCTGGACTGTTAAGAATGTGATTGAGATCGACTGATATCAAACTTTACTTCAGAAATATCTGCAGTTTTGGGGTTTAACACAAACTAGAACACACAACACTAGTTTTACAGTTTTTAAGCTAGATCAGAAATGGTATATGGATGTTTATTTTGAGTGGTTGAGGTAACCCAAACTAACGGTATCAAATACTAGGGGAGAATATTGAGAAAATGAAAGCTCCCATTTTTTTAAATGCCCGTGGCGTTGAAGGTTTTACTGCGCAGTGACTTCATATGTCCTGTTAAATAACCCGAAATTGATACTGATTTACAATATTTTTATATGAAATTTTGATGACCATATATAATAAGATTCTCTTATATTATTTGTGACTTTTTGCTTGATTATTTCGTCAAATATATTTTCTGTGCAACAAGTCAGCGTAATTTTTGAACGGCCCTCGTACCTTTCATTTATGAAATCCATTAAAATTTGAAGAAGGTTACATAATTTCATTCATGTTTGTATGTGATTTTTTTTAAAAAGCTATGAATGGATTTCTGTGAAATCTTGAAAGGAGTGAGTCTTGAACAAGGAAAGATTCATATTTGGGTAAATATTTAGCATTGTTGATTTTGTAGATTCCAGTGGTGATGTGCAGGCTGAGTTATCTTCCTTGTCTTCGTGTATTCCTACATACGGAGTAGAGGACCTGAAGGAGATACTAGAACTGATACACACCACAGGGGCAGATTCCATCCCGAGGTCAAGACCCCTCAAGGTCATCAATTATCTGAAGGTATTACAACTCATGATTTTTGAACTGCGTTGATTTAAAGTAATATTATATAGGAAGATTTTTTTTCATTATTTTCATTGGCTGAAAGACATCACAAGACACAAAAAAGCACATCCATATATCGCACTACTTACTTTTTAAATACTGCGCCAAAAATATGTAGCACAACGTGATGTCATAATATTAGAAATGTTTTACCATTACAGTTAAACACGCCTATGTTGAAGTACCAGGGACAGATGATTTTGCTTTGTAATAAGCATAATTTTTATATATCTGTTAAGTTAACAATACATTCTGTATATTTTAAAGTCACCAAGAATGAAAATCACTTCACTATAAGCGTCAATTTGTTATAAGCATGTTCCCTATAACTTGGCTATAAGCATATGATGAAATGACAGCCAATCAAGTCTGTAGCATGTACAGCTAGGACTGTGTCAGATTATTCACTTAGAGTGATTATATAACTATTATGGACTTCAGCGAACGGTCAGTATATGGGAATAAAGGACCCATGTCAAGTAATATTGACCTCATACACAGAAAATTATATTGACCTCACAAGCTGGGTCACTTTTACTTTCTCTGACTTAGGTCAAGATCACTTAACATTGGTCCTTATAACCCAAATATAGACCTGCACTGAAGTCCGTAATTGTATAATATCACAAGGTATTAGAAAGTAATATCTAACAAACACACACCAACCCCTGTGGTTTAATGTACACTTGAGAATAAAGGTAACTTAACAATGAGTGTTCCAATTTTCATTAATGGAAAAAGAAATACTAGTACCTAAACTACAACATCTTTATAATTTTGAAATTTTTGAGAACATTTTGAATTAAATGAGAGTATACATGTACCTCTTCAGTTGTAAGATTAAAGAGTGGACATGTTTCTTGATTGCAAACACTTATTAAAGGTTGTAATCAGAAGGAAATTTATTTAATGCAGTTTATTGTTTTAAAACTCAATTTAACTTTTTTTTACAGTCAGAGGCAGTAAGAATGGCCAGACAGTTGCCACGACAACAAGACTATGATGACATGCAGGACCTCTTGTGTCAAGTTAGAGATCTATTACCAAAGGGCTGCTACTCTTGTCTTCATGATAGACCCTTTTTATATGCAGTTTATGACATGAGTTCTCTACCTTTAACACAGTACTCGCAGTCACAGAGGGATAACATTTAACAGTTATAATTACATGGTCTTAGATACAGACATACTTAATAAACTATGAATTAACTGACAGTCTGACTTGATCATTTACATAAAAGTTTTATCTTTGCATGTTCAGATATGTGGAAGCTCAGATAGGTATACCCCCACAACAAGGTTAGAGGTAGGGGGAGTGAATTTTAGCCTATTAATATACCTTAGTTAGCATTTCCTATGGCTTTTCTCAAGGGTAAGCCAAACTAGGAGATATTCTGTCCGTATGGTCTTGTGCAGATGTGGTGTCTCTATGGATACTTCCTGAGATTTCCTAGTTTAACAGGACTGTAAACTTGAAAAGAAATGTGAGTTTCATTGTTAAGATGCCTAGATTAGTTTTATTTTCTCAAGACGAAATAAAATCTGAAACTCTTAATGTACATGTATTTTAACATTTGACTTGCCCTGCCAGGTTTTATATATTTTGGTTAAGATCCTCTCTATGCCCATGATTCTTTAAAAAAATGTACATGAATGAGCGCTTGCTCATTTTACAAACAAAAATATTTATTTTGCTCTACAAGGTGAAGTGACAGCACACATTGTCGTTTTGTACATATTAACACTGATTAATAAGCAACTATCCTCCTCGCACATATTGTCGTCCATTGACACACACGTGTATTCTCGCCGGCTGAAAAATTATACATGTACGTATTGTCGCTGGCGATTTTATGTACCTACCCTCACTGTACATGTTGCCGCACCACAGTAAGGATTGCCTAAAGGGTTTTTTTTCTTTCTTTTTTCTTTCTTTTATGTTTTGTTTTGTGAATGAATCAATGCAATTGGTGTTAATATCACAGAGTCGTGTCTCCTAGGCTATTTCTCACAGCGCAATGTTACGGCACACATATAGTCTTCGTGTACGTCGCTGGTGACAATGTGAACATACTGTCGTCCATCGGTACGTACTGTCGCAGCTAGGCTGCAAAATTGAACATGTAGCTGGCGACAGTATATTGAGTACATCATTCCACTGTTACAGTAATATGGATGATGTAATGATGATGATGATAGTATACGTTAAATTTTCATGAGATTGCGCATTGGACATTTTTTCAGCCCAGGTGAAGCAGCTGCAAAGTATACATATATGTGTGAAGAGATGAATAGTGCAAATAACATGATTAATAGTACAAATTTATAAAAAGACCATGGCCAGGAATCTCTCTCTCTCTGAAACTTCAAACACACACCCACTTTCTGTTAAAAAAGAACCTTTTTTTTAAACTTTCGACTCACTGATGTTCAGTGCACTAAAGGATTTAACCAATTTCACATTATGACTGAAGAAACACTTAAATATATACAGATTTTTTTTGGAACGCTTGATTCTACTTTAGTTCTTAATTGTTATCAGAGGCGGAGCTTGAGGAATCTGCTCCAATAAACCTTTTCCCAGTCTTGTACAGATAATTCCAAAAATTATTTTTGAGCTTCTCGTTCGTGTGCATCGTATCTTTGCTTGATTTTTTCCTTTTCTTCTTGTTAGATTTTTTCTTTCTCTTCCGGCTTATTTGATTTTCTTCTTTATTTGTCCTTGACCAAAAGAAACCAGAAGAACTCTCCTTTTCATCGCTTTTTTCTTCGTCAGCTTCAGAAGTGTCTGACAACTTTTGCGGCTCGGGCTGACAAAAACCGGAAGTGCAAGGCCCTGTTTCCGGTGCATTAGAAGCTTTCTTTGAAATGAAGCTTCGCCTCATGTCAAGAGCAATAGCATCTTCCAAGTATCTTCTGCATTTAGAGGAACAAAAGTAGTTTAATACTTTTTAATACATACGAAAAATAAATACTGGCTATGCAGATACCTCAATAACTGTTATGAAAATTTATTCCTGAAATATTCGTCACGTCAATAAACTTCATTTTGTTTAATGATACATGCATATTCTTTTTACGAGAGTAGAGTACGTTGAGACTTGTTTGTATGCGCAGGGAGGGGGCTGGGGGAGGGAAGAGTAGTGTCAAACAAGTAAAATTACTAGTACTTCAAAGATATTTTGATATCAAACATGCTCTAGCTATTAACCAATGTTAAAGAAACGCTATCGTTGACAAGCTAGAATTTGTATATTGCTCCAGTCCGGCTATTGGAAAGAACCCTATTGTGAGGGCTAAAGGGACTAAACATATTTTGAAAAGAGCATTTTTTGTACAAGGTATGTGATGTTGAATTATGTTCCCAGAGTTTTTCCAGGGGCGAAGTTAACGACAAAAAGAGCAATTTTTTCTTTATCACCTTTAGATCTCTCATTGCAACAACCACCCTTGTTGTAGGCAGGGAAAAGTATTATATTAACCCTCACTTTTGACCAATTTTCTACCATAATTGATTCAGATCTGTTTTTACTTCTTGATTATCCCACATCTAAATATATTTCTGTTATTTCATAATCACTTTTGGCTAATCATTGCGACAGGTTAATTGTACCTGATATCCGGGTCTTTTTCCTCTTCTACATTTTCTTTCATCTTATTCAATTTCCACTGAATCCGGTTCAGTAGTGTTAATTTATCCTCTATCTCGTATAACTGCCTTACTTCCGGATCAAACAGATCCAGATTGGCTTCAACGTCCACCAGAATTTTCTCAAAATCAGAGGCATGGATTAAGTGGCTACGAAGAATAAACAGCGCCTCCTGTTTACAAAATCGTGTTAATCTCTTTTTCGCTGAAAGTAAAAATACCTTATCCTTAAATAAAAGTATTTCATCTTCATCCATTTTTATTTTATAAATAAGTCCAAATTTATCTGAAGAAGCCCTACCTTTTCTTTCCATTTCGTTTTACATCCAATGTAACGTTATATTATGGTGTACGGACAGGGCCATTTGCAAAAGCTCAACAGTGCGTTCAGAAAAACACGCCGTCGCGCTAACACAACGACGGCGTGTTGTACGAACTTGTGTTAGCGTGTTGTGTGTTAGCGCGACGGCGTGTTGTGCGAACTTGTGACAGCGTGTTGTGTGTTAGCGCGACGGCGTGTTGTGCGAACTTGTGTTAGCGTGACGGCGCGTTGTGTGTTAGCGCGACGGCGTGTTGTGCGAACTTGTGTTAGCGTGAGGGCGTGTTGTGTGTTAGCGCGACGGCGTGTTTTTCTGAACGCTCTGTTGAGCTTTTCCAAATGGCCCTATCCGGACACCATATTATATAAAGATAAACAAAAAAAACCATTTAATTTATCAGTTGTAAAGATGAGCAGGTTATCTGCTATGCGAATAATCTTATGTCACTTGCATGAAGAGATATCGGGACACATGTTAAGGGTCATCGTGTCTGACAGTATTTAATTGGCCCAGTCGTAAGAAATAAGAATTCAATGTTTCTATAATTTGTTTTTAAGAAACTCATAGTACAATTATGGGGGTATGTGACGGTACATATTGTCGTTTTGTACATATTGTCGTCGGCGACAATATGTACCTACCCTCACTGCACATATTGTCGTCCATCGGTACATATTGTCACCGACGACAATATGTACCGAGACGAGCCTTAATTTCCTCCTGCATAATGGACGACAAAATGTACAGTCAAGCACCAGCACATATTGTCGTCGGCGACAATATGTACAGTCAAGGTCGGCTTATATTGTCGTCGATATATTGTTTTGACGAATATTTACTTGAGAAAGGAAAGAGAGATTGACAAACACACACAAGCACGGAGGGAGACAGATAACATTACTCGCAATACTGTAGGGCGAAAACTTTTTGGTCAGAAAATTGTGTTCAGGATTGATGTACATCACTATGATATGCTAAAGATACCGTAATTCTTCAGATATCTGATAAATCAGCCTATTCTTTTTCTTGTAATATATACTTGGAGATTGAATACAATATGTATTAATTTTTTTTGTTCAGTAGTAATGATTATTTGGAAATTATTTTTTGCGTTATTCTTATATACAATCATGTGCCCGTGTAATTGGTGTTGGGGTTGACATTTTTAGATCACCTGAACTGGAAATTCAATTGAGCTTTTCTGATCACATTTTGTCTGACCGTCCCTCTGCCTGTTAACTTTTCGCAATTTCAGCTTCTTCTCAAGAACTACATGCACTGGGTCAATTTCAACCAAACTTGCCACAAAACATCCGTGGATAAATGATATTCAAGTTTTTTCAAATGAAAGGATTTGTCCTCTTTCAAGGGAAGTAGATAAGAGCTACTGAAAAGAGCTAGGTTCACTTTATGCATAAAATGGCCCTGTAGATATACCAATTTATTGACTAACACCTTATGTTCCATTTTAAACATCAAGATAAAGTAGAGACTTAGTGCTTTCATTTCCTATTAAATTTTTTCTCCTTAAAGTCCAGGTCTTGGAAAACAAGCTTTATGGAATTGCAATGTTCTTAAATTTTAAGGAAAACAGGTATATTTAAGTACTTTCAGAGAAGAAAAATAATATGAGCGCACCCTCTGATCTAAAAAATAAAACATGTTTTGTAATCCTCAGAAAAGGTTCTATCAGTAAATAATTGCATATTTTAGATCAGAGATTGCGCTCTATATTAAATATCGAAAAATAGCTTTAAAAATTGGCTGTTTTTGTAGAATTGTTCAGGAAATGAGGAAAATGATGCATTTCATGACGTCATAATGCATCGACTAGCCAGAAAATTACGTCATTTTTGGTAGATTCGCAATCGCCAAATGTCTAAATGAAATTTAATGCATTGTCAACTAAAACTAAACAGTTTCAGTTTTTCAGAAATTCACAGGGCCAAAAAAGGCCCTAAGTGAACCTTGTTCTTTAGTGACATCTTTTAAAAATCTTCTCAAAAATCACTGAGTCAGAAAAGTTGAAACTAATGTGAAAGCTTCACTATAAAGTGTAGATTCAGTTTAATGCTGATTATGTTCATTGGGGGAAGGGTGTGGCTACAAAAGGTGATCAAAGGTTTTCATAGAATATTGAAAACAAATTCAATCATTTGTTTTTCAAGTCAGAAGATATGATACTTATGTGAAAGCCTCATTACATAGCTTATGTTCAATTTTGATGTCGTGGCTGGCACGAAAAA